GAAGAAATTACTCAGCATTGTGTTGTTACCCTACTGCTGTCTTAATTGCTGTATCAGTAGGCTTAATCGCAAAGATGCTCCTGATAGAGGAGTGACTGTGGGCTTTCATACCACACTCGGAGATTGTGAGAGATTTTGAAGTCAGAAAACTAACTGAGCACAAAATGTGCACCCTTGCAAATCAGACAGTTCTTGCTGTTTCTGGAAATACAAGGGCATGGCGAGATTGCCAAACTAAAATCAATTCTTTTTGCTGTAAAAATTCTGCAAGTGCTCGAAGGTCACTGTAACTGTACTAACTTCAGGGACTTCATTAAAGGATTCATTTTTTTAATTACGAAGAACAGTGTGGGTAAAAAAGTCCATTTTATGGAAACCCCACCCTAATAACAGAAAATGATGTTTGATTAATACTCCTATTTCTCAGAGGTGCTTAATACAGCATACAAATGCGAAGATTGATTAAGTAAAAATCTCAGAATTAGTAAGACTGCTGTAGCCTTGAAAATGTTTAAACGCCGCACACTCTCTGTTGGGTAGTGATGAGAGAAAGCTCCATAATTAACGACTGAAGCGGTGAAGGGTTATAGCGAACAGCTGATCCACTTGCCGGCAGAAGAGCTGTCATGTCTTACAGCAGTCTGGGTGACATGGACGTGATAATTCTGACCTGTGTGTCCGCATCCCCACAACCCAGATCGTATTAACTTATGTAGTGGTATTTGCCCGCCCGGAGAGGCTGCAGTCTCCGTTCTGGGAGATATCCAGGACCCAGCTGGGCAAAGCCCGGCACTGCCCGATTCCCCCACATGCAGAGGGAGGCTTGCAATGCCGTCAAAGGTACCGAGCCATGTTTTACTGCCAGCTCCAAAGAGAGTTGAACAACTATCTACTAAAGCGATAGGAACGATGTCCTGGTTGCATCCCGAGGAAATGGGAATTATTTTAGTTGTGGCCTTAACTGCACTGTCTGCGCTCTGCTAAGCTGTAACTCTTCAGAAGCGTGCTTCAGTAGCTGAAATAATTGGAGATTGTAAAAGTAAATACATTTCTAGTCACTGCTGCACTACTTGTGAAAACAGTGGTGCTTTCATTCACGCTGCTTAATTAGGGTTGCCTTTCACGCTGCTGTACCGGAGGAGGTGTCAGCATTTCCAATATAAACTACCAGAAGTAGAGGGTAAAAGCAGTCAGGTAAAATGTAGTCAGGAGTTCTTAGAGCACAGGGGTTTTACAAGCCTTTGAAGAACAATCAGAAGTATATTTGATCTAGAAAATTCATAAGCCAAATTTAGAGGCGCTGGATAGCTGGCGTTACCTCACTTGTAACCTATGGTGTATCTGTCACTGCAATGGCAGAGCTGTGTGCTACAAAAGAAAGCAAACTTTTGCATTTCCTTACTGAAGAGGGAACTTCCCTTTTAAAGCAAAAGACTAGCTAAATTATTTACCTGTTATAAATCAAAACTATATCGGATGAATGTTGCTTAGGATGCAGAAGCTGGTATTCAGTTTTCAAAATTAACATTGCCTGTGGAACCTGGATTTTTCATCCCTTCAGTGCATCTTCACGCCAAGGCTGCTGGGCTGGCGGGGGGGATGGTACCTTTGAAAATGTGTGAGAACAGGCCTGCAGAAAAGAGCACTGCTCGTGGCTTAGTTCTCGGTCTTGCAGCCTTCTCCAGCTGACCTTATCATATTGTTTACATTTTAGTACCTCTGAGTTGGCCTTCGATTCGCCCACATTCATTCCTCTTTGTTTTAAATTAGTGCTAGAAATACTTCCCCAGCCCCAAAAGCCACGCAGCTTTTAAGGTTGCACTTAGAAAGATCCTGACCGCACTCCCGCGGAGTGCTTCCCAATACTCCCGTTTTCTTAAAGTGGTTGATTATTGTCAAGTATGTTAAAGTTGATAACTTTGTTTAAGAAAGAGAAGAACAAAAATTTTAGCACACTAAATAGGTATAGACCGTATATTATTCTTAAGGCTCCAGACCCAAGTATTACATGATAGGGGGTTATAGGTATTTTCTTTTAAATTGCTGTGTAAACTTAACCTTCTCCTCTGTGGTGAGACTCGTAATGTGCTATGTTATGATAGTATCCATGATCACATCCTGGTTTTCCCCCGCTGGAGTGCTAACTCATTTATTGTATAGAATGGATTATGCTCTCTTCATGAATGTTACTATTTTTCATTTCCCCTTTTGTCCACATATTCACCAGACATAGATATGTACTTGATACTACTAAAAGCTTGCTAAGAAGGCAGAACCAACGGTTTCCACATAGGCTTTTCTGTGATACCTATCTCACTGCATTCAGAGGCTTCACGCACGTGTGATGGGGCCGGAATTAGCTTGAAGCTGCGCAGAAGGCGAGCCATCGGCACAGCGAGGACGGTGGGCAGTGTGACAGAGATGACCCCAACCCCCTCTCACTTACATTCAGTGATGCGAAACCACTCGTGTTCAAGTTTAGAAAAAGCAGTACATTCATCGGGTCATTGTCAAGGTTGTGTTGGGCTGCAAGGCTTTGTTTGCTTAGGTGCTGGTATTCGATGACGCAGGCAGGGAGGAGGTAGCGGCGATTGTACCAAGAGACAGCTTCCTTCGCTTCGTTTGGGTTTGTGTTATGTTTGGAATATTTTTGGCACACAGTATATGCAGAAACAACCTCCTCCTAATGGGTAAAGTAAACCTTTGAACATCAGCATTTTTTTCCCTTGAAAACCAAATTATGTCTATGCTACTTATTTAGTATGCATCTGTTTAATTAATTAGCATTGCCTCATGACATGCCAGATCATCGGGAATGAACTAAGCAACAGCAGACAGACTCATGTAGTGCTCAACAGCAGAAAGTCATGTGTTTGAGTGATCTCAGCACTTCTCTGTGTTGTTCATAAATCGCTTCTATGTTTGCAAAAAAAGCTGTGAAAGTCCTGAAAATAAATAATAAGGTGTGGTGCTCGGGACAGTAGTCTGTTGCTGCCTGTATGGGTTTTTTTATTTCCTTTTCTGCTTTCCAGAAGTCCACTTCTATTTACTCTATCTTTAATAGGGGCTTTACTGCAGAGCGCAACTCTACATGTTAAGAATTGAAACGGCAAACTTGTGTATGATAAAATATGCAAGCAGAAGTGGTTTAAGTCCTTTGCAAGAACGTAAGGCACCAAAATTAAGCTGTGCATAACTTTTGAATTTTTAAACAGCAGAGGCTCTACTTTTTCTTCAGTCATACACCGCAGTAATTTGGTGAACGGCAATGGCAATTAATACACTAACTAAAACTGAGAAGCACTTCATTCAGCGGTGCCTCAGAAGCTGACTTGCCTCTGCCTCTTGACTGACTTGCGGTGTGTTTTTCTTAAAGATTGCAAAGGGTCCAACATACTGTAAGGCTTTAGGAGATTCATATAGATCACAGCAACAAAAAAACCACTAGTTTTGAAATAACATTCTCTTGCTACTAAAGGTCATGAACAAGAATTCCTCGATTGTATCAAACTACTATATAAAACTAACCCAGCAAAAGCCTGCATGTAGGTTGAGCCATGAGATTGCTTTGCCATATTTTTGTCATTAAAATAGAAGTAATTCCCTGAGCAGTGATGCTGGAAGAGGTCTTCTTGTCTTCACTGTTCTCTCGCTCTACCAGCATGTTGTTTTATACCAAAGATAAGCTGCAGTTTGCAATTTTTTGTGGAGCAAATAGCACAAAACAAGAGACAAAACAAGTTAAAACGCTTAAAAGCCAAAATTAATGTTCATTCTTGTAGTGTGATTAAGTTTCCCATATTGTGTAGACCAAAACAAAGCTCCGTAACTGACAGATGAGAACACCACAACTTGAGACAGGCAGGTAGAAGTCGTCAGACTAAATTTATTGGTGCTTTGAAGACACATGGTATTTTCTTTCCACACACCAGAAAGCTCATGGTACCTGTATGCCATTCAGTTTTTATTCCTGTTACAGCTGGAGTCCACCTTTATTAGGATTACAAAATGGCTGTCGGTTGCCATTTGGGAGAACTGTGATTTGGTTTCAGCTGTGAAAACCCTTGCCTTTGCGCCATGGCCACCAAAGGAGGGCCATGGCGCAGCGTAAGGTGCGGTTCCGTTCTGCTGGTGGAGGTGGTCCCGCGCTAACAGATAACTCGGTACTTGCGGTGTTACAGAACAAAGCTTCCTTCTCTGTCATTGAAGAGCTAATTAGAAATTTTTATCTTTAAAATTCTCAGCATTATGCTTAATCCACTGAGAGAAAGCAGAAGTGTGTTGTTAGCCACCACTACAAAAATAGAGAACTTAGGGTTGGTTTTTTTGGTTTTTTTTTTTTTCAAAAAGAAATACTTCCCTAAATATTGCCTCTATAGTTTAATAAGTAGTAAGCAGAAAAAAAAGCTTGGGGAGTGTGTATTAAAAAATGCATTTATATATAAATAGAAATGCTTTACCAGATGAACAATTTCATATGGACTGTGATGCTATAAAACCTGAAATGCTACAGTGTGACACAGCATTCACGTTGTTGAGCTAAAAAAGATCAGCTGCTCTGGCAATTGTAGGTTGTGGCCCCTGGAGAGCGCACTGAAGTTAACCAAACAGTCTGATTTAACGAACATGTATCCAGCTAAAATTTAGAGATGCAATAGTTTTATGGCTGATCGTTTCCCTCTGGGCAGAAGGCTTTATTTTCATAGACATTGAGTACCTATCGTTTTCATGGTGGCCAGTTGCCTGTTAGTGAAAGGAAAAGTGCAGTTACGCTGAGAAATCAAATCTGTGGCATCTTGGGTTTTCCTAGTTAGCTGATTTTTAATGAGTTAAGTAGCACTTTGGGATTTGAATTCTTTTGTTTGCTTTTCAACCCCTGCAAATGGACTGCCAAGTCAGAGTAAGATGCCATTTCTTGGTAATAATCCATTATCAATAAGCTGTTGTTTGCAGGCAAAATTCCATGTGCTTTTCCTAAAGTGTTTCTTTCTGTATTTCAGCTTGTTAGTGACTTATTGGAATTCTGTTTCTACACCTTCCGAGAGTCTCAGGCACTGAAAGTAGAGTTTCCAGCCATGCTGGTGGAAATCATCAGTGACCAGCTACCAAAGGTGGAATCCGGGAATGCCAAGCCCTTGTACTTTCACAGGAAGTGATAGAAAATGTCTTAAATGGAAGAACTTTGCCTTAAGTTTCCCTCTGTTATTCCACACCCATGAAGGACCCAAGAAACCATATTTTAAACATGCTATTTACACTTGTTCAGCAGTCTCTGAATAGTCTAAAATCATATGAAGGGTTTGGGGAATGGAAAGCAGTTGACTCGGATTTGGCAAGACCTAGATGTTTGGAAATTACCCCATAACCCTAAAACACTTAGAAAAATGTTCCTGTTCCTCTGGATGAAAAGCCATATCTAGTCAATAACTCTTTGATTTTGATATTTTAACAGATGGAGTTTTAAATATGCCATGTAGTTTCTGGTATTGTTTGCTTGTTTTAAAAGGGTTCGAGAACTAATGAGAACTTTTTAAAGCTTACCCTTGGTTTGCACATAAAACGTAAAGTCAATATGGGGCATTAATATTCTTTTCTTGTAAAAAAAAAAAAAAAACAAACAAAAACTATATATATACACACATATATACACACACACAAACCCTAACGTGTAAAGTAATAACAGAACATTTGGTGTGGAATACTCTGTTATCCCCACCTGTGGCATTTGTTATCCCATGTTATCCCGTCATAGATGATATACACTGTGTTAAGTGTCCATTTACTATTTAATTAAGAAGGATAAGATGTGAAAACAAATGCCCTGGTATCAATTTATAGTATCTATTGTGCTGGCTTTACAAATAATTTTTTGCAGTCTTTTGCTGTACTGTACATTGCTGTATGTATAAATTGTGAAGGACCTGAAATAAGGTGTAAGGAACTTTTGTAAATGAGACAAAAAAAATCTTTAATGGTTAATAGGATGAATGGGAAAGTATTTTTGAAAGAACTCTATTTTGCTGGAGACTATTTAAGTACTATCTTTGTCTAAACAAACAAGGTAATTTTTTTGTAAAGTGAAATGTTCTGCATGCATAATGAACCGTTTACAGTGTATTTAAGAAAGGGAAAGCTGTGCCTTTTTTAGCATCATATCTAATTTACCATCCTACAGTATCTGTTGTAAATAACCACACTTAACCTTTTCAGTTGTATTTAAGCCTTTCTATTTTCCTCTATATTTTTCTCCCTTTTGTCTCGCTTGCAAGTGTATGTGACTTGAGCACATCTTAGAAATCCTGCTTCATATTTCTGTCGGAAACTACACTATGTTGTGTTTGCCACTTTATGAAGGTTTCATTTAACAAGACAAATTACGGTCTCTCCAAAGCTTTTACCAGCTTAATGATATAGTGAGTTCTTGCCCTCTATCCCCTTTCTCTCTCAGGGGAACAGGGGTGAATAAGATGTTGAATGATTCTTCTTTTTTTATTAAGGTTTCCCAGATTGTTTGTTTTTCCTTTGAATACTGGATACATAAAACATCTTAAAAGGTCAGATTATTATTATTTCAGACGGGGGAGAGCGATTTCTGATTATGATGAAGGGAACATGCAGATCATTACAGTAAGTATATTGAACAGATTTGTACTGGTGAGAGGGATGGTAAGGTACTGATAAGGGCAGATTAGCTGAGTAGAATTTTTAGTGATAAACTAAAACCGTGTGTAATTTTGTAAGCATTTTTGTAATAATCAGAATACATCTGAGAAGACAAATGTCCACACTACAAGTTCAACTCAGTTGGTCTGATTTTGTCTCAAAAATGTTTTCTCTAGAGTAAGACTGCAAAGAAAAAAATTTTTGAGGTGATTTTCACTATTTCACAATTTATAAGCAAATACAAAATTTTGGAGTAGAATAGAGGACAGGTGAACTTTTCTGAGGCTCAACTGTTGCTACCATATGCTCATGTTTAAATAGAATAATTTTTCAGAGTCCTAATCTATAGTGTTCTCTCTGGGTGCCACTGGTATTCTTGAGCTCTAGTTTGTCCCTTGGCCGGTCAGAATGTAGCATTTCTTTTAAATGGTGGTCAAATTAAGAATTCTACACCCTTTCTGAGTCCAAATTTTGAGGTGCACTGAAGACAGTCAGTGCTACTTGTCTTTTTAAATGACACCTGCCTTATGCAATGGGTAATCTGTAAAGACTGTATTCCGAGAGGTTTTTTTATATATAAATATATACATACATATATTATTTGCATTTTGGAAGTCTAATTCATAGGCAGATCTTTAAATACTGACCTGCACAGCAATATGAAAGCCAAACTTCCAACATGAGATACACAGCATGCAGACTGGTTGTTTACAGTAAAGACACAGTCATACATCCATCTTTCCATTTACATTTTTTTTTTTTAAAAGCCTAAAACAGAAAATTTCAAAGCCAGGTTCTGGGTGAATACAGTCTGCAGCAGCTTTTTATATTAACAAAGTTACTGCCTCCTTTTCTGTCTCAGAGTAACTTTGCTTGTTTAAAATAGCAAAGCCATATTCTACACTTCACTGTTAAATGCCTGTCCCAGTCCAAATTGTTGTCTGTTTGCTCCTATTTTTGTACCTTATTACTTTTAATCTTGGTTTGGTACAATTCATAATTCACAGAAACTTCATATAATTAAACACACTAAATTAGTTTTAAAAAGCAATTTATATCTTTATGCAAAAACGTATGTCTGTCTTTGCAAACAACTGTAAGCAGATTATAATAAATCCTTTACTTTAATCACCTGTTGTTTATGAAACCATTCATTGATTACTATTTTTTGCTAGAGATCATTGAAGTAATAGATACAATTGGATATAGATGTTGTAAGAGGCAGTATTCTCTTATCAAGGACACTTAAGCAGAATAGCCATCACTTTTTTTTATCTAAACCTGTGTACAGCAAAAAAAAACCCACAAACAACCCTAGTTTTTAGCTACCGGGAAGTTATGTTCTTTTGAATTTGTTTAGAATGAAATAGGCATTTGTCTCCTGCAAAATACAAGACAAACTAAAACACCTTTTAGAAGTGGGCTTCTGTTCATTGAGCTAAGTTATTTTGTTGTAAGAAGGAACGGGGATTATACAGCAAGATCATTGTATACACAGTTAAAAATGTAAAATAGTGTTAATGTACTGCAGTGGGTATTTCAGGAATACTACACATCGTGCGACTGAACAGTTGCGCAAAATAAAATAGAAAAGAAAGACTAAAGTTTGCAATATCAAAATCTTATTAAAAAGATACTTTACAATCAATAATGCAAAAAGCTAATTCACAGGGTGGTGTTTTTCACTGACTTGTTTAAACATTTATGAAATTAAACAATTCTACAGTTAATGCACTTTTAATTGTTTATTAAAGATTTGACTTTTTCTTTTTTTAGAGCAATGTTTTCAGCTGGAGGTCAATGACTTGATAAGATAGACAGCAGTTCTGAGGCCAGGAAGCTCAGAGGAATGTTTAAGAATTCTTGGAGTTTAAATAGATTCCTGGATGAAAAATAAAAGCAGCCAGCAGTATGGTGTAAACAGTAAAATCTATGCATAATGATGCATTTATAATTAGGGGTTTGCTTCTGTATGTTTAAAGCTTTTTAAATAAATAGAAAATATTGTTTGGTCTTTATGTTAATGTCTGCAAGTACCTATTTTTCTTTTTCTTTTTCTTTTTTTTTCTTTTTTTATACAAATTGTACAAATATACATGAATTAAACTGGTTTGATTGCAAGTATTCCTTGCATTTTAATCTCAGGTGCTGGTGCAGTGATATCCTTAGAGACAAGCTTCTGCTCATCTAGAAACGGTATTAAGTAACATAAAGTAACTAACAATGTAATGTAACATCCTTCATACATCTAGAAATCTGGTTTCATCAAGCCCTGTTAATTTGGATGACGCAGCACGTATGACTGCTTCAGCCAGAGAGCAGCTACTCACGCTGTAGAGTAAGGAATGCCCAACCGTGAGAAATTTGGTTCACTTAACCTGGATAACTGTGCTTGCCAAGTGACGTGCTGACACGGTTACACGCACAAGCTACATCCCACTCAAACAAACCCAGCAACCTTCAATAGCCAGCCAAGTCTGGCTTCCAGTTTCAGTTAACCTAGAGCTGCTCTACCCATTGACCAAAGTTAGAATTTCTCTCATGGAAATAGGGATTCACTATTTTATATACACACAAGGTTTCCCCAGTGACTAAATCAAACTGCCTACTTCAGGGTCAGGTCTTTTCCAATTATAATTATAGTAAGGTAGTCAGAAGGGGAGATAAAACTCTTGCTATCCTGTTTTGTTCTGGGCGCTCGCTCGCTCTCAAAAATTCACCACTATGTCTGTGGTGTAAGACCACCATTTAATTGCTTTTTTTTTTTTAATAACAAGTTACACAAACTTTTTATTGCCAAAAATCCTTGCACCTGCCTTCTGTTTGCTGAATTGTCAGAAGGAAAGAATAGTAGAGGATCAGCAGTGTTAAGAAAAATTTCCCATATGTTTACAAGCAGATGTATCTGTCATATGCTGTTCTAGAACGAAGAAAACACTATCACTACTTAAAAACGTAATGAAACTTGTAATCTGACCTCAAGCTGGGACACTGCTTTCTTTCAGGTATCTACAGAGACGGGGAGTTTATGATGAGTACAGTATTACTAAGATAGAAAGGAGTGAAAAAAAATCCCCTTTCATTTCAAAGATTTTGCTAGGTAAAACACGCCATGCCATAAGGTTTTTCAAAGAACACTTTAATTGTAGATGTCGATAGGATGAAGTTTATTTGGTGCTTACCTGTGGTTACTGCAAGCACAGATGAGGGCACACTGTTGAACTCTTGATGTAGAAAACGATGTCCAAGGCACATTCAGCTTAAAAGGTGAAACGCCAGTGAAGACTTTCAGTTAAACCGTGTTTAGCACTGGTGCATTTACAGCCTGCATAAGCCCTCTGTCAGCAACTTTTCTCTTTAAATTGCAAACCAGGTAAGAATTGTGAAATGGGTTAAGAGAAAGAAAACAAGGAACAGAGCATTGAGAAAGGCAAGTTTCTCCCCGAGTCTTTTCTGTGATACAATTACAGAGGCTTGGCTAGCAAAAGCTGTAAGCAATGTAGCAGGAATACTTACTTTCATTACAGGGCAGATCAATCAGCCAATGAGATTTTTCTTTCACTCCTGATGAAAGACGACATCAGAAGGAACCCTGCCATGAAGATCAGCTGGGACAATGATTAACAACATTCAGCAGCCTGAAAACCCCAGGGTTTTTCAGCCAGCAGAGTGAAAATGCTGCCCGGCCAAGGCGCAGAGCTGCGCGCTGTCCAGTGACTTAACACGGGCTGTAAATACCTACTGATCCCAGCCAGCCAGGAGCCTCAGCTTTTTCCATTAATTATTCAGCAAACACACATTCAACCTTAATCCCCAGGCTGAGGGATTCAATCTCTGGCCCCACAGTGATGGCAAGGCAAACGTCATTTTGCAGAAAAAACACAAAATGTGGTTTTTTCCTAATTCACCCTCTCTAATTTTCAGCCGGTGTCATGCATTCACTACCAGGAGTCTCAGCTTTTGAAAACTGACAAGTACGTGCCCCTGCGCACAGTAACCAGCGCACAGCAAGGGAGGGGGAACCCAACCTGAGGATTAAGCTGAACCCGTACCCACAGCTGTGACACGAAGGCAGTTCCCCATGCGAGGACGGAGTCGGGCCAGACCCACGCAGAACCACCGCTCCTGCTGCCAGGCCAAAAGAGAAGAGCCTGTCAACCAGCTTTCTCCACAACTGATTCCCCGTCCTCCTTCCTGCCTGACTTTAACAGTGCATTACTCTGCTCTTCCCAAATCTACCAAGCCATGGAAAAGACAGACAAGAGGCATGCCCTAAGGCCCAGCTTCAGGAAAGAAAACAACCTCAAAGGATGGGAAAGGGGCCTGACTTACTTTATATGGTATTTAATTTTTAGCATCCTTTAATCTCTACTTCCAAACAGTCAGTACAAGGGCATCATTTACAGCACTGCTCAGCAGTGAGGACGAAGAACGAGCTGTGCCATGGCTACTCAGCTGTACAAGTCTGGACTCGGCATTAGTATGACCGGGCTGATGTGGAAACCCATATGGTGGGTAGCAGTTACCACAACTAAATTCCTCAGCGGCAGTGTGGTTAGCCTGAAAGCCAGATCTGATCTGGCACAGCTCACACCACTGCCTTTAGACAACGTCTAGGACGTGAGAAAGTTCGGATTAGTGTTACCTCCGCTCGGTGTGTCATGTCTCAGTTTTCTTCTTGTTTGGGTTCTGCGTGGCTCCAGAAGTAACAGGAGTCTCAAAACATCTCACCTAAAGGCAAATAGGGTCACAGGACTGGCTGGAAGAGACACTAAGTCTTTTTATTCCTTCTCTATATATCTGCCTTTTTAAATCACCTCAGTTAAAAGGGGGGGGAGGGGGAAAAAAAAAAAAAACACAACCACCACCAAACCACAAAGCTAGAGCTGAGAAATACATTGAGAATTTTGGAAGACAGCAGCCAGAACAAGATCAAACACGCACTGCACGTTTAAAACAACAACAAACCAAACGGAAGTGACTTACAAAGCTTGTAAGCTTCAAGTTATCACAGCTTCGCTATCTGACAAGCCAGCATACTTAGCTGCCATGCCTACTAGGCTAATACCAAAGATTTACAAATTCTGCCTCTTCTTTCAACATTTTCCTCTAACTGGTAGCCATGAAAACTGAGTCTGGCCACACAAACACCATCCTGCCTCCAGAATGACTCTTTAAGGCCACAAATGAATTGATAGAGCTGTGGGCCCAGGCGACACGATACCCAGCCACAACAGTGCTTTGCCATGTGAACAAATCCGAGTAAGGAAACCTGCAATCCGTTGGTGTATGTATTGGTGCAACTGTGTCCTTAATACTGAGTCAAGGAGCAAATTAAAGAACTGGATCTCCTTCACAGAAGTCCGAAAGTCATCTTCAGTGCTTGGGCCACTTAGCCACTATGCCAAGGCAAGAATTGCCTTAAAAGCTGCATGGCAGAGAGTCACTGCTCAAATACCCCGAGAACACACCAAATGAAACTCCTCCAAGCTATGAGGTTTAGTGCTGGAGAGCTGTACTGACTTGGCCCACCATTGCTCCATCTGGAAATGATTTGTGCATATTCCAATGGTCTACGCAGTCTGGGCAAAGGAACAAAATAATGGTATGGAGTTAAATCTTAAGGGGGAAAAAAGCCATCCCAACCCTAAGGCAGCATTAACCATTAACTGGTTTACTAATCACATTAGTTAGAAAAACTTGCAAGCTAAGTATATCTGCAGTAAATGACTCAAAATCCACAGAGTCCAATTTAACAAATAAGTGAGCCTATATTAGCGTGTCATCCCGTCACATTTTCCTGCATCCTCTCCACTGCCTCCCAGAGGGTCTTAGTTGAAGGAGAGAAAAATACAAAAATTACTGATAAACTGCATGTAACTTTTTTTTTTTTAATCACAAGGCACAGATTTATACACCACAAGATTTCTGGAAGCTTCTTCTATGACCACAGATAACTCTCTTACTACTAAAATAGTTCTACAAATTATGAGGCAGCTACTTGAGGATTCTGATACTATGAAGTATCATTAAGACCTTTCAACTGACAATTACAGGGGAAGAAGAAAGGGAAGCTCAAGGAGGAGCTAGACAGACAGACAACAGATAAAATGCAAGATGCCTCCAGGATGCACAAGGATCATAGCCAGAGATTCTCTTTTCCTTTTGGCTTGAGCTTGCAGAGTTGCCTATTTTAAGTGAGGAAAGTTCTCCATCCATTTTGGAGCCTGCTTGAGGCTGACTGCATACAACTGCCAATAATTATTTCACGTCATAACTTACAGAACCAGAGCAAAATATTCTCCAACATAGGAATGACTTAGATCAAATAGCAAATAACATTTTATTTCATTTACAGTGACATTTCTGAGTAGCAAAGGAACCATGACATACAGGAGCCTGTAATAAAAGTTCATGTGTCTTATCTTTATAAAATAAATGAAATCATACACACAACATAAACGAATGTGTTCTTGGAAGACATTTGAAAAATGTCATGTCTTGATACCTATTATTTTACTTACTGGTGTCTGTTCTGTACTGTCTATTCCACTTTGAAATATAATTTAATTGTCAGCATGATAGCTTTTTTATCCAACAGTACTTTCCAAACCCAAATAATACTCCGTTGAAAATGCTGGTTATCAATGCATAATCTCCAGGACACTAAGTTTATAAAAATCTTCTTCAACCGATAGTTAAGTCACAGATCAACCAAATATTTGACTTAAAATGCTAGTTATCTTGCAAACAAACATACCACTACTGCTCTTTACAATTGAAAAAAGCAGCCTATTAAAAAATTAACCTATCCCTCCATCCCCCTTTCTTGTCTCCCCACCCGTTCCAACCCTTAAAGAATCTTTTTTTGTAATTCATATTTGGCAACACTTAATGTCTTTATACAGATTAGGACCTTCAACCCATAGTCAGGCTCTTCGTTGATTAAAAGCAGTCACAAAAGTAGAGAGAAGTGACCATAACAAAAATCCATGGATACCATGTACACCTTCTTGGCGTTCAATGCACAAAGCTATAAAAACTGAACATAATTTTGTGGAATAAGTCCTCTCTTGCCATTTAGCGTGCCTTCTAGCCATCCTGGTTCTCTGGAAAATTGCACTGCAAAAGAAAAGGAAAAAAATTACTGCATCTTTTTATACTTGAATTAGTACCTTTAGCTTCAGCTCCATGACACCAGGCAAAGCATCCATAAAAACATCCAGTCATCTGCAATGACCAGTTTTAAGAATCTGGCTAGGAGAGATGAAGAGGATGATTAACTTAACTTAAATACTTCCATAATATAGGTGCTTGAACTATCTTCTGCAAAGTATATATGGTGAAATAGCTTTTAGGTGCAGGAGACATTAAGGAAACAGTTAATGGAACTTAGGATGGGTTTATAAAAAAAGAAAATCTAGACGCCTTTGCGGAGAAGTCAGAATTCGTATCCAACAGTGGAAAACAATTTCAGTAGCTGGGGGCAAAGCAAGACCAGAAACCTGTCTTGAGCAGAGGTGATTAATGTGGAAGCTCGGAGCCACAGAAAAATGGCATAGGACCTTACTCTGCATGAAAAGTAAGCATGTAAAGGATTATAGGGGAAATAGAAATGAACCAGATCTCACTCCACATATCATCTCTTCACAGAGTAGAGCTGCTATTGGAAGAGACCAACGGACAAACTCCGAATCATTCTTCTGGTTAAATCCTCTCTCTGAAATTCAAATACATAGTGCTATTCACAAAACGCGAAGGAAAGGCTTGAAAGATACACCTTGTTCCTTATTGCCATCCTAAGTGTTTACCACTGCTGATCCCAAAGTTTATGCAAGGGTATCCGTGAATCTAAAATAAGAAAAATTTCAGCTCAGACTCTAAATGCCCCACAAGTTATTCTGTGAGCAACAGAACTAACGAAATCTGGCTTCCTATATACATTTTGACCACATTTGACAGGAAGTTTAAAAAGAAGCGTAAGCCTCATTTCTTTGGAAAACAGACTAAAAAGTCCTCAAATTCCCCTATCCAATTTCTTAGAAGAATATGATACAGGTACCTACTTACCTATGTAACTGTAAAATCCCACACTCTTAGCGACCTACGATATTCTCTACCATGTTAATTTATCCTCACAGTGCTGCTGAGACAGACATTATTTAGGGAAGAGATCAGACAAATGCTGAAACGTGCTGCCAGCCATGTCAGTGCTTTATTTAAAACACATTAACACATTGGGGAATGTGATATTTGTAGCCTTCTACAAATCAGGGAAATAACAGTTAAGAGAAAGCAACATGTTAAGTCTCACTTTTCAAAAGCACTGTAAGGCTCTAAATTTGAGCACTTAAAACATACTTTCCCCTAGTTTTTTCCTTGTGTCCTATTATTGTCAGTGAAGCTAGAAGCTGTGCTCAGAAACCACAGTTTAAACAACAGCTATACCTCCAAGGAATCCAGAAAACAAAACTGCTTCCAAATGACACTGACAGTTTAGATTCAGATCAAAAGTCTGGGCTTGTATTTATAATGAATATGTTTGACAGAAAGATTCCAAAGGAGAAAAATACATAGACAATTACCTTTCAAGATCTCTGCGCACACAGTAACTTACATTACTATTAGTAATTAGCAGGCCCTCCTCTCCCTTTGTCACTTTTATTCCACAATTACAGAGTACACATGCATTTGAAACTGCATCGCTGACACCACCACAAACCTCCCTCCAGAAGCTCCACCGCAGCGGCTCTAATTCTACCCTTTCCAGCAAATACGCCAGCAGCTCCAGCGGGCAGCCAAACCTCGCCCTGAAGTCTCCCCCATACCGACGGAGCACATCATATTACAGGAAACAAACTCCAAAAAATTACAGATTAGGAAGAAAAACAACTAGAAAACCTGGAAGTAGGGAATTTCTACTTGGCCTCTGGAGCTCAACCTCAATTTACGTTAGAGAGAGGATAGATATTACTGGCATACGAGTCTAGAAATCAAAGGTCTATGCAAAATGAGGGTAGCCCTCATCTGAGGGGATCACACTAAAACTTAAATTTACCTAAAATTTACCCAGGGGAGGAAATGCTCAAACTATGCTGAATCACTTGGCTCACCACAACAGCAAATTTCAAAAGAAATATTTTCTAAACAAGTTTGATAACATAATACTGAACTCTGCACACTGCAGCACATTCAGAGATAACGCACAATGGCCAAGCAATTGGACTTGAGTGACAAATACCATTTTCACCCCAGAAGACTGGACATGGATGGTACAACGGAGCTCTGTGCTTGGGAAATTAAATATCGTACATGTATGTTACACAGCTCTGGGCCTCGTTATTCGTTAGCAGAAGTTTCTTCTAGACTCTCTGAAGACTGAGGAAAGAATCAGCACTCGATTACATGCAAGATCACCATTTCTAGAGATCAGTCTTTTTTTAAAAAACGCACGAAGAAGTAATTCTTAATATTCAGCAGCGGTGGCGACTGTCATATCGGGTAAGACTTCTGCCCCTATTCAAATCACCTTACTCAAGAAGGGTTAAGATACCCATGTACATCACTGACAACTTCTGTAGGCAAATGGTATTAATGGGGAAGCTGTCCAAATGTATAGCTGCTTCAAGCTCCGATGATCCTGTTTTCTTTGCTAATCTGTTTCCAAAGTTTAGTGTACAACAGCATTCATTTAAAATAAAAAACACTTTACCACACAAAAGACATTTTGCTATCATGCACAGCTCTTCTTAAACCCAGGACACAGGCTATTTCTGAAAAAATACCCTGCTCAAGAGAAGATGTTCCGTAGTGTCCCCTTTCTGTCATTTCTTCTCCGTCAACAATTACAGTTCTTAGCACTTTCTCAGGCCTGCCTCATTTAAAAATACCTTGCTGCAGAAACCACACATTTGGCCTTAAAACTACAACTCATTATCGGACCAAGTATCCCATAGGACTAAGTCTTATGTTGGCTAGGGATCGGAGAGGAAACCACTTGTAGTGTAAAAGATACAGTGCAGAGAACTAAAAATTACGTATTTTTGGCAAGGTTTAACAAGAGTATAGCAAGACTGCACAACAAGACCAATCAAAGAACCACCACCAAAAGCCATCATCTCTTAGGACAGTAGAAATAGCAGCAAAGCTGAGAGCCCAGAGTGGGACGGCAGCTTCCCCAATATCTGCTGCAAGGCCATTTCAGCAGTCTCACTCTAGTGGAGACAAAGTGTAGAGAAGGAGAATGTCTGACCATCAGTCATGACGGCAAGCACTACAGAACAATCACGCCAACTCAAACGGACAAACAAAATCAACAGACTTTCAACTTGCAATGAGATCTCTACGTAAAAGCTTTTCTGATTTCATCTAATCAAGAAACGCAGTAAGGTCAACTTGGCATTTGCAGCATTTCTTCTTACTTCTCTGTATTCTCCATAGGAAGTAGCTTCAATATTGCCAATGTTACAATTATCTAACTGCAAATGCATAGAATTTGCAAGCAGCTCTTCCCAGAGACCCAATGCTATAAGCAGACCTTGTTCTGCTTTGGCAGCTCAAAAGTTTCACGGGTCTCAACTACAACTGAGACCAAGACTCATTTCCACAGTGGTATTAGTTCATTGCCTGGGTGCCACTAACTTTAGCAGGACTGAATCAGACACTGATTCACACTGATTTCCACACCTTTGTGGAAACTAGCTGTTTTGGGAGGAAACAGAAACGGGGGAGGCAATCTAACATGCATGGTGCCTGGCACAAGAGGGCCTCCCTTTCTGATGGGACTACTTTACCAAACAAAGTAATGACCTCAACGAGCTACATAAATGACGATTGCATTTTGTGGGCAACAGAAATCTCACTGCTAAGACCATTACAAGACCAGAATACACTTCCACAGAACTCAATCACGCTGGCCAATTTTTCACCAAGAAATTAAATTAAAGCAACAAAATGTGCTTGCATACCCTCTGTGTTTAGAAATCTCTGTGGGTTTTTGAAACAATCCCTATGGGGAAAGCTGACTGCAGAAATACACAAATATTTAGCATGCTTAGGGTTAGCATGGAATTTGAAATTTTAAAACTTGCTGTTTTCCTTAAGTATGTTGTGAGAAGCAGAATTATCTTGTGGACCAGACACAGGGCTAGGAGTCAAGGGGTCTTATTCCTGACTCTGCTAAAGATTTACTGTGTGACAGTCTGCCTATAAGGGCTCAGGCTTGTGAACGAAAGCAAACACACTTAGACACCATGACAAATTAGTGAAGGTGGAATTCAGCTTGCAGACTGAGACTTCCCTATACAGAAGTGTCTAAGCTCCTATTACAGCTGGCGGAGATCTAGTCAAACACAATGAATAGAGAGAGCACCCAAAGAATAATTTGGCTCGCTCTAAAATAGAGCCAAGTGGTTGGTCAGCTGAATTGCTGCTGAGTTCCCTGTGCTGTAACTTGGTGAACTGTGTGTAGACATTGAGACTCCAGGTCTTTCTCCTGAGCTGATTCCCATCCCACCTGACTGCTGAACATCTCTGACAGGCACACACACACACACGCAACCCCCAGCTACAAGGTTTTACGCATCAGTTCAAACATCTTCCATTTTAACATTTCTCTTCCGGAGACCACTCCACAACACTGTTGGCAGGAGCAAAGGCAGACTGGTTAAGGTCAAACTACCTTCAGTGACTTTTTAAAACTTCTAGCAAAGTCAGTAGGAATTTGGTAGTGCTCATCTGGTACTTTTTATTGGTAAAGTGATTGTAACTTTCAGCAGCAGTTTGAGGTAACTACCTCCAGGTATCTGAAAAGGAGAACATCTGTCCGCAGCCTGTACACTCAGTTTCTCCAGGTGTAAAATGGAGATGATTAATGCACATGAAAGTTTCCAAGTGCTTTGAAATCCACAGACGAAAGGTGCATAAAGAAGTAGATTTATCCTCATTTTTACCTCAACAAAAGAATTATTTGCACATACAGTGCAATATAGTATTTTGGGAGTACTACTTCTCTTTGATGCAAATCCTTCATTTGTCAGTACCATAAAGAAAGTCAGTCCAGAAGCCACAGCATGAGTAAGAGGGAAGAGAGTGCCTTGGAGTCAAAACCAGGGACATTAAGTAAGGCTGGCACTTTGTTACACTAGGAAAGATAGAGAGGGACAACAGCAGCTATGTGAACACGGCTTTTTCTGTTCCTACTGTGCTTGGTAGGGACGATGGGTGCCACACTTTTCCTGAGGAAAATTACTGCAACAAAACACTTTCTCCATTTTCCCCATATTTTCTCTCTGCTAAAACTTGATTTTAAAAATTGTAAAAAGCTTTGATGAGAGCTATCTTGACAAGTTTTCAGGAAGCCTTCCTGCTAGCAATACTGCCAAGGAATTTTGTTGTGTAAACACCATTTACCCTATCTAAAACACTTCTCCCTAGTGAAATTCCCGTTTACTGACTTCTAAGCAGTCTCTTTCAAGAACCAGAAATTTAATAACACTTGGCTCCAAGGCTGGCAAGGTTTCAGTGCCAGGCAGTCTGATTATTCTTTCCACGATTATTGGGAATGTCTGCTTCAACAACAACAACAAAAATATAGAGCCAGCATATGTCTCTCACAATCTCAGATCATACTCTGCTTCTTCCCGTATGTGCCCTTATCCAGCTGCAAACTCTTCAAGCTTTGCCTCTAACCACTTGAATTATATTGTTATGTGCTGTCAATAATACAGCCTGCAGCAACTGGGAAATAAAAATATTGGCACAGCCTAAGGTAAATTGAATTAAGATTTAAAAAAAAAAATCCAGTGGATATTGTTCCGATTACATTATTCATTTTCTTACACAATTCAATTAAATAGAAAACTTTGCCTTTTCTTTTTAACTTACCAGATGGCACCTTAGCGTTTATATTCTACGACACTTTAAGGGAAAGACTGTGGGATTCGGGGTAGTACAACGTATATGCAATATTGAAAACACCTGAATATGCAAATCTTCAGATTCTATACAGATTCCTATCAGGTGGTATAAAGCTTAATTTTAAATATTAGTAAATCTAACCTTGTCAGCCTGCGACACAAACAGGTATTTTTTTCCCCATTTAGAAACAGGAAATGGAGCCAGGAGTAAAGGTGACACTCTGACCTTCCTGCACCAACATTACATTTAGCAGCTATGACAGGTGCAAGACTGTACTTCACTAAATGCCATTATCCTGTCTCAGGCTAGAGCAGCCAGAAGGATTCATCTGGGATAATAACAGGTAAGAGAGAACTGCTGCAATCAACATCTATGGACCAAGAGAGATGAAACAGAAGAAGAACAGGGAAGGGAACTGAAAAAGAGAAGGAAACAAAGCTGAACAGAGAGGGAAGAGAAAGGAAAAAACTCAACAAACAGTGAGAGGTGAAAGAGGGAGGATTAGAAAAGTGAGACAGGCAGGGTGGAGAAAGGAGAGATGGATAAAACCTTCACTAATGGAAGCAGCGCTTTTTAGTAGACATTAATTTAACAGTTACTTTAATGGTTGATACTAGCTGTATGTCAACTTGATTGATGCGTTGTCACTTTGATAGTTAAGGTTATTGGTAGAGATGCAGAATTGATGTATTATTACTTTAATTCTTCATTTGGGGGCTTTATTAGGGCATATGGGAATTTAAATTGAGTAACTAAAGAACCTGAATTGATTCACTGGAATCTGATCCCAGCATAGACACAAGGGTGCGTAGCGCAAAAAGAAAAAGCCTACGCGAAGGCATTTCAGAGGTTTCAGATATGGAGACTGGTCTGCACTTCTAATGAGAATACCTTTCTATACTGACAGAGCCATCCATGACATAACCTTTTGGGAACCATTATGGAATGACCATTAAGATACTACATACGTTCAGTTACTGCCTTATTACCTGCATGCTCTCCTCCTTTTTTCTGCCAGTCCACAGCCTACCTAAGGCTGAAAGCCCTGCAGGGCAAGGACAATGCCTATAAAATAACCAGGATACAGTGGAATAAATCAAAACAAATGTATTTAAGGAAATGTGATCCTTCCCATTGGAAATCTGCAATTAGGTTTTCAAAATGCAATCCCCATAACCTTTTCCCAAGCTTCCAACCTTATTTGTATGATGATACGGAAAAAGAGTTACAGTTGAAACATCTCTTCACAGCTGCCAAAGAGTCAAATTCCGTACTTGTTCTTGGACAATCCAACTCTCTAGTTGAAAAACTCAACTCAGGCTGTAATGCACCAAAACCATGGTAGCTTTGCCGTAACTTTTAGCGATCTCTTTGCACAGGAAAAGAATCTTAACATTGCTTTCACACAAACGCACAACACAAAGCAACTGCTTCTTGAGAGACTTTCTTATCCCATGCCAACACAACAGGTGTGCAACCCTTGCTGTTCTGTGTTAGAAATGCCTCTCTTCTATGCGTCAGATCTTCTCCCCCATGCACTAGATTTTTTTCCTGTACACAGTTTTATGTCTGCTGAAGATCCCTATCAGTCATGTTTTAAAAAACTTAAATTAAAATAACTGGTGTTAGAGACTTTAAAAAGAGCAATCATTTAGCTAATTCATCTTTAAAAGGTTTCCCACCTAACTTGATTCAGACGTGATTTGCCTGCAAGGTAGCTCTAATAGGAAACATCAAGTATGATTTTGTAAAGTGGGTGCTAGTAGGGAAGAACCTAGTGGGGACCCCAGACCACCTTATGCTACAAAAAAAGTAGAACTGAAGTCTGGACCAGGCTTATTTATTAATTTGCTCGGGAGGAGGCAGAGGACAGGGATGTCCTATGCTCTGTCTGCTTTAAAATAAGCATCACAAAGAAGGGGAAGGAGATGTCTGTCTGTGCTATTTTTTTGTTGTTGTTGCTATACGCGCTAAAAAAAAAAAATTCTGCGGAGCTTCCCATTTGTTTCAGCTTGTTAAACAAATTAGGAACATTCTACTGGGGCTGGGGAGGACAGGACGAAAATATTTTCGTTTATGATAAAAACTTTCCCACACACACTTTTGATCCAGTGCTAACAGAGTTAACATGGTGCACTTTGGGAAATAAAAGACATATTTAGTTAGGTTTTTAACTGCAAGCCTGCAGGTTGACGTTTTCCAGCTGGTTTAGACTGTGTACTTTTCTCTTTTTCCTGCTGGATGTAAACTGTGAATTTGGAATACTCCTCCTTTATTGAACATCCAACCAAAGATTCTCACATGTGGTATTTGAATGACTGGGCAGTGCATTCCCTAAGTGCATTTGGTCATGCAAAATTAAATACCACTTTCCCTCTGGAAAGCATGTATCAGATTTCTGACCTGGTAGCAAGCTAAAAGCTGACACTGGGTGAGAAGAAAACAGGCATGACTGCAGAATTTCCAGATTCTTTAGAGCCCAGTATGCCTCTTACTACCCCTGTGCCTCTAGACAGACTGAAAGACTGAAATAGTGGTCTCAGTACTCACAAGGTTCTTAGGGATGTAATTCTCAGACCACTTTGAATCCCCCAGTCTGCACAAAACTTAGATGAGGATTCAGCCAAATGTAAGAGTCTTCTGGTTTTTATATGAATGTAATTTTTTATCAAGGTCTTGTAACAAACAACTGTCTTACCGTGCTGCTGCTATAAATTAATTTCTGCTTAGAATTATTATTAAATTGCATTCAAGTAACAAGAATTGCTGAATTTGTCTAGGCCCTGTTGAGCCATTCCATACCATCTCTTTCTTATAATAGGAATTTTCTTGCGATAGGAAGGAACTACGTTCTAATGTCGTCTTCTGCGTCTTCAGAGTTTGTATTACAGTAGTCATTGGCATAAGGTTTAAAAACTAAAACCGTTCCTATCAGTTTGAAGTCCCTGTGCAGTTGCTGAAGAGTAGAGCCATAGAAACTCACTGAGGAGCAACACAGTCTTGAGCACAGGAATCACCTTCTGGATGTTAATATGTAATACTATATTTGGGTCCACAGAAATTTTTAAATACAGGCCTTCATTCTGCACCTCAGTGAATATTCCTTTTTCTACAAGTCATACACACACTAAGGCACCCCTTGATCCAAAAAGTAAACACTCCCTTTTCTCTCCAGTGATCACCTGATTTACCTGGAGCTCTGCTTGCTTGAAAATCCTTAAACAGATTTTTTTTTTTTTTTTTTTGTTTAAATGAAAGCCCGTATGTTATTTTACAACGACAGTTCACATTTAAAAACATACAGTTTCTTAGGCCAAGATGTTTTTCTCTATTGCTGAATAACCTTTTTTGGTTCTACAACACATTTAAATGCTGCTGAAAAATTAGGCCAATTGAAAGTGTCTACTCACCAGAAATCAAAGACATTGCCTCACAGTGCTAAGTATATGCTAAGTAGCTTCCGCGTACTAGAAATCTTCTACGTCACCAACTGTGTGCCGTCAGCAATGTTGGCAGAATAGCAGTTAGGCTTGTATTTTTACCCAAAGCCATTTTTGCAGTTTTGTCAATTTGTTTTTCATTGCTTTGTATTTACTCAAGCAGTACTTACCATCTTCAAAAATTGCTCCTATCTGAAATGATAATTCAGAGCTATGTTCTGCTTCGCATGGATAAACTGCTCTTGCTTTTCGGTGGGCAACGCTGAAAAATGAAATTATGAATTATAGTTATTTTTGACTGTTATGTACAACATTACTAGAATACTGAAGATGCTGTTTTGTCCTAAATGAAGCAAGATTTCTAACATTTCAGGCAGCCTTTTAGAGGTGTTCTCAGGATGCTCAGTAATAAGCCATCAATATGAATTTGTCCAAAGTCCTCATTTCTCCAAGTATCATAAGCAGAGATCTTGGAATATATAAGTATTTTTGGCACGTCTTATTTAATCACGCCTTTGCGAACTGACAGTTTGCTGCTGCCCAATGATGCTTTGTTTAGACACAGCACCCACACCATTAAATCATCTTTTGCTCAGCCCAGGCAACAACTACACATAAAACACTGGGAAAGATTCTCCCTACCCCCAAGGAACTTGCAGTCAAACAGACAATGCAGTTCTGGTGCAAAATGGTTGACCAGTAATGAGAAATGGAATTTTGTTACCAAGTGTTGGAAAGAATTTATGAATATGCCCAACTACTTTAATTAGAACAGCAAATAATATAAAACTTGAAGGAAAAAGCTAAGGTGGTGAAGACCTGCAAAGGAAGAAGTGAAAATACTTCAAAAGATGGACAACACGGAAGGAAGCAGGAACAGGATGGAAGGAAAGCAGGCCAAAAGAGTGAAAGAAAAGAATGAAACCACAGAGACAGGTAAAGACATGGGAAAGTCTTTCAGAGGCAAGAAGGCTAGGTTGAGAAACTTAAATTTGACATGGGTGGCTATGTAAAGAAAGAATCCGTGTTTTAAAAGACACTGTAAGAGAATCACTGCAGTAGAGACACACTATGAATTGATCACCCAAATCAAAGTCTGCTTGTATTAACCAACAAGCCACTGGCTCAATCTGGGTGCCTTCTACAAAAAAGGTGTTGAAAGGAAAAATAAGACAAAATAGACAGTTATTTTATTCTGTCAAAATCGCTACGGTTCCATTTCGTGATTTGAAATAATCATTCACATACTGCAGAAGACATGAATTAGCTGTTTTTAAAAAGATACAGAAAAAAGGAGGCAAATAAAAAACCAGCAAAAGTTGAAGTGTACATCATACCTTTCCACTGCTCTGTCACTCCCAGTGGCAGGATTAGGGAAGAAGAAAGTGGATGGTGCAGTATTTGTGGCAGCTGGATTAGCAGACGGAGTATTCATCCACGAGACCATCGATGGGCGGCTTTGACCAGGACTAAGAGGAAATATATTCAAGGCAGAATTAACAAGGTGAATAAAATTTCTTTTCATACCAAAATGTTTGAATCTTTATAACTAGATAAGTAGTTAGATTCTCAAATTCAAAATCAATAATAATATCAAGCTGATTTTGCAGACATGGCCATCATATCATTCTGCATTTCCTCCTTGAAAGTGTTTCTCCTACATGCCCTACATCCTAAGCTAAGACGAATTACCTGAGATGTATGACATAACCAATAAAAAGACAAAATTCCACATTCCTTATCTAATAAAGACAGATACAATGAAACTGCATCTAGCAGGCTATTATTTGAGCTGCCACTTTGCCTGTACAAGTTTTGATGAATCTATTTAAAAATCTTCTCAGTGCTGTACTAAGGCATGTACGACTGGGAAGATTTCAAAAGAGGCTGCAGCTATTACAACATTGGGATCACGATGCTGGCTCTGCATTGAGATCTCATTCGCATAACTGCGTAGATACTGCCTCAGTGGCTGCCCTCACGAACACGCTGTTCAAAGACTTATTAAACTAATGGCTGAACACATAGTTGCCACAAGAGGAGAAGAAATAGCAGCCAAAGTTAAAACTTTCATTTTTCGTTGAAAAACATACAAAGTCCTCCCCAACATAAAGAATGTTCCTAATTTTACACCTTAAAGAACTAAAGCGTTCCAGCACTGGAAGGCTTTCTTTCACTGCATGGACAAAACAACAAATAGTCCAAACATTTAATGTCAGCATATCTTTGGAACAAAGAGCTGGACTTCAAGCAGTTTCTAACCAGAAACAGAATTAAAATCATTTGCACGCAGCTCTCACACAGGAATCATCACACAGAAGTACAGACTTCACAATACAGCATTTATCAGTTCATCTTATTCTAAGATTAACCTCTTAGATAGCATAAATCTGCGAAGTACCACCAAAATCTAGGAATCCAGTCAAGAAGGTTTTGGGGGGGGTATAAATGCACACCTAATCAAGGTGGATTGACCAAAAGCAAAAAAGGGATCAACAATCACGCCAGTTATAATTGTAAATGAATAAAACAAAGCAGGAAACCTAACCTACATATATCTTCTTGTGCACCGGGATATTTAATTTCTAGAAGAAAAGGTCACTATTGTTGGTTCGCATAACATGATTTATAATCAAATTCAACTTTTACAAACTGATTTTCCTAGCCAATATATCTCATAGTCATTCTAGCAATTACATAGTTAAGCAGATATTTATTTTGATTATTAATTTTTAAATTTAGTACATTATAAAATAGTGAATGGCACATTCCTTATTTAACAAGACAATAGTTTTTCCTTTGGATCTGTGTCAGGCAGCATTTGGATGAAAAATGGAATTCACAGTGTATAAAAACAGCATTCTACAGTTAATTCCACTAATAAAAATGAAACTTAAATGTGCTGGAATCATAACCAGAAGGGCTTATCAAAACATGCTCTGCTTTTAAAACTATCGGATTTACCAAATAAAGGAAGGAATCATATGTAGTAAACTGAATGAAAAGCTGGATTGGGCTGACCAGAAACATATTTCATGCTTAACTTTGGGAAGAGGATATCTAGTCTGCTTCACCACTTCTGAATCTTCTTCTACACAATTATTTACATCTTCCAAAAATTAAATACCTTTGAAGACCAGCACCCTCATAATTCTGGGTTTTACTTTTACTTGAACTTGTTGTCTTCCTCCCATTTTTATCTAATCATTGAAAACTTTTCCTCAGGTAAAACAAAAACCTTCAGCTAAAAGTGACTTCATTCAGAGAAGAAAAACAAAGAGTGAACACCAGCATCTGTATTATTTTCCCTAAATACTGAGGATAAAAAATTTCTCAATGGTACTGTAAAGTTTATAAAGTTTGCTAGAACATAGAGTATTTCTCCCTCATTCTGCACATAATGTACACATCCAGAATTAATTTTAAGTCAGTAACATAGAAGGTGAACCTAAGACAAAAGTTTTTCAGAAGTCAATTAAAAAAAAAAGTACCCTACTTGCATAGACTAAACTATTATATAGTTCAAACGATCCTGATTTTCCTTGTGCTCTTATTTATTCCACTCAAATCAATTCCAATATTAAGATTGGTGTCAGGCTCATTTCTGAAATCTGTAAAACTACGGAAAATAGAAAAATACTCCTCCAAGTATATTGCCAATAGAGTATTAAAATGTCTTTAATGCAAACTAATCACAATTCAAGAATATTCTACCAAGTGGTCTTCTCCAGTGTATACCTCAGATGTGTGTGTTTGGTTTTTAACAAGTGAATAAAAAAATTTTCCATTTATTACATATTTCACTGAAACATCCATCATATTAATCTATGCAACTTACTTGATCAGCTCTAGAACAACACACACTGCCTGTGTGTAAGACACAGGATTAATGATTTCAAAACAATGCTCAGAACAGAGAAGACACAAGGAAAGCAACCTCCGACCCAGGAAAGCAACGGTCATTCATAAGAATACTTGGAATAAATACCAGATGGTTTCTCGCCAAGACTTAGAGAGGAAAGAAAAAGAAAAAAAAGAGGAAAAGGTGTGCAAAATAAAGGAACAGAAGATGAAATAAAATGTTCAGATCCATGTCATGGCATGTTTATTTCTCAAGTTACAGAGACTCAACAAGAAGGATAATCTATCAACTAGTAAGACTACACTGTCCTTTACCAGGCAGCATTATATAAAAGCATGTAAAAACTGGCAGGTTTTCTACAAATTCCGAGCCACTCCAACAGTTCTAGTGGAAAAACGCTCCAGAAGTGCAGGTACGTGGAGCACTGGGCTGTTCCCTCCCCCACTTTTTGATGAATTCCCTTAATACATTTCAGCTGTAGCGAAAGCACTGCAGCACGGCTCCTGAATTCGCCTGTCACTTTCGGCTCCTGGTTACCGAGCAAGAGATCATGCTCTAGGATCCAGCAGGGGGAAAAAAACATTTTTCAATAGCAATAGTTTCACCGTGTTAGGAAGAAGAAGAAAAAAAATTTAATAGCTTTAAATATTAAGCACATTCTAGAATTTCAGGGTTTTTTTTAATTTACTGTACTTGGCTATCTCGGGAACCACTTAATTTTATTATTAAAACAGAAGGTTTTACTCAATAGGAAAAAATCAGTTCCAATGTTGTGGTGTGTAAGCAACAAACTGCTGGATTTCATTTTTTGTTCTTGAAAAGATTCTTGTGATAGCAAAGTTACCTTGCTATAAAGCTTTGCACGCCTTGTTTATCAAGATGATGATATATAAGAAAGTACTGCATATCTTATCATATAGCATCTCAACTTTAAGTGGGTATGTTGAAGAAATCCTTTCTCCTAAGGGCTAAAATGAAGGCAGTGCATTTCCTGTGGAGAGAAGGAAAGAGAAAAAAAAAAAAAAAAGCCTGACATAACCATCTCTCTTTGAGCAAAAATGCTATTGTCTGGCATAGTGAACACTGGGAGAAGGGAGCGGGGGGGAAATGGCCTTACTGAAAATAAGCTAGAGATTTTGCACTGATATTCAGAAACAAACTCCTGAAAACAAGATTTTATTGGATGTTTATCTGGCTGTTCCTAAGGTAACACAGCTAAAGAGCAGCCTCTTATCTTGAGAGCAAGGAAGAGACTCTGTGAAAAGAATCTACACTGCAACTCTTGAGAAAAAAAGGGTTGTTTCATCGACAGGTTTGGCAGCCCCATGGCTGTCGTATCACAGTGTCTGGCTGACATAAACTCAATGAAAGTGTTCTTAAAAGGTTTCATTATAAAATGACACAGTATATCAAAAGGTGTCAGCTATTTCTGATTCAATATGCAATCCAATACTCTCCACCACCAGACAACGATCTTCCTGCATGTTAAAACCCCTATGCCTTGGTGAGGTTGGGCAGCAGAAAAATACATGGACAAAATTCTAGAAATTGTCATAGTTGCAGCAAAGCTGGAGACAAAACAGAAGGACAGAATTTCCTTATCTGTGTTCCCTCTGAAAAGAAACTCCACCCCCAAAATGTAAAGTATGAAACATGCACGCAACATTCCTGAACCCTCCTTTATACAGAACACATCCGCCAGCACTGAAATAGAGGTTTTGTTAAACTTGGATTGTGAAGTCTCAGTGAAGCAGCTAACGCATTAGTGAAATGATCTTTCACGTCAGTCTGGTAAATCTGAAGCTAACGTCTACAGCAGCTGTCCTGTATTAAAGCATTTTTAAATGATAATTCAGACAAAGCAAAAATGAAGTATGTACATCTATAAGCTTATAGCATACTGCTGTTCCTTTTAGAAAAAAATGAGGGGGCTGTGTTCCCTGGAATCACACAAAGAGAAGAAAAGAAAACAGAAAAGAAAAGAAAAAGAGGAGAAGGAAAAAAAAAAAAAGAAACTTTAGCTCATCACAGTGGTTGCATCCACCACATCTCTCCCTGCTCTGAGCACACGTACTGCTTACTCTGCGCTCACACAGCGGTGCTGCTGTAAAGCCCAGCTGCCTAGCCCACTGGAAGACAAGGAGATAGCAAAGTCTATGTTGTATGAACCACATGATTAAGTTGTATTATGCCCGTTTCAAAGGAGCTACAAAATGATGGCTATTGCTCTGCTTGCATAACAAAAGGGTACGAAAAGAATTGCCTGCTCCACTAAACCCAGCTCTCAAACCGCTGAATCACTGAAGAGGTGGCAGCTGAAACAAAAACAAACTGCAAAATAAGCACAATGAGCAAAAAGCACTGCTACATACCTGGACTGTGCCTTCTGCAGCTGTTAAAGCACCTTCTTTTATTAAAATAAGATGATGACATTTGATATTATAAGAAGTTTTCAAGACACTGAAACTGAAGTCACTCATCATTTATGTAAAATTGCAAATTCACACCACTGCCAGAAAGTACAAAAAGAAACTACTCCAATTTTAAGGAGACTACAGATGCAGTCTACTGATGTAGATATAACGAGGCTGATGGGAAT